ACCATCAAAGAGGAAGATGAAAAAGACGCAGCTCAAAGATGCATTGACAGACAAAGTTCGTAAAAATGATCGGACTTCTACCCCGGGGAAAGAGGCCACCACAATACGATCGAAGGGCATCAAAATGCTCACAATCGAAGGAAGAATGAAGATATGTTGCTGAAATAGCTGAACAGCTGCCACAAGTTGCAAGACCAACTTCAAGGTCTTCCCATGGCGAGGCAACCTACATGTAGGGACGATCTCGGGTAAAAGTTCACAGGGACATTTTGGTCATTTGTGCCTAATTTTTGGATTTGTTTTAAATTTGTTTAATTCTAATTAAGCTTGAATTTTTAGTGTTCACCCTTGTTTGGTGAATCCTCTATATAAGCAAGCTTATCTCACTTGTAAGAGAACCTTTATTTTTGGGAGAGATTCCACAATGCCTTATTTTCAAGTTTTATTACCCCTGAAAGCTGAGAAGAATCAAGGCTAGATTTCACTTATTAGCTTGCCTTTGTTATTCTTTAGTCTCTGTGGGAGATGAGAGAGGGGGATGGAGAAAACTCTGAGAGAGTGAGGATACCCCTGAGTGTGCGGTCCCGTGGGCACCCGGATCGCGTGGGTCACCCCCACCTCACCTAAGACAAGTCGCTCCATTTCTCTTTCTCTCTCTCTCTCTTTCTCTCTATCTCTCTCTCTCACCTCCACCTCCGCACATGACTTCGCCTGCATGGAAGCCCACCCCTACTTGCAAGCTCGTTGCTGCGAGCAAACCCGTGAACCTCGACCCCTGGGTTTCCCCACGCCCCCTCCCTCAGCGGTTAGCAACCCCCTGAGAGAGTGACCGGGGAGGAGGGATACTCGGATCCCAGCTCGATAGCATAATGAAAGTAAGAGCAGAGAGATTGAGAACCTGAAGAGGGCTCCGTCCAAATTGTGCCAACACACAGCTAGAGGGCTTCGTAATTTCTCTAAGAGGACTATCTGCCTGGTCTAATCCCCGAACCCCTAACGCGGTGCAAGAGAGTTAGCGCTCTAGTCGCTAAAATCTCAATCACTGTCAGCTTCCTATCCACAAGCAGAAGGATCTGCACGCCTTCCATGCATCTAGACTCCGCAGTTGTTCGAGTGAGGGTTTCCGCCTCCGTCCCCTGAAGGGAAACCAAGACCGCACCTACATCAACTGACGACTCCACTAGGGACTTGTCACCTGATCGTTGGCTCGAGCTATCACCAGATACCAAACTCTCTTTCTCCTCTCTTCACTTTTGCTATGGGATCTTCTTATCCCTCCTTCCTTCGGGTCGAGGAGTTCTATATCCACATACCCGTGGCCATTCACGATGAGGCTGCGTCGGGTGTTCCTCTGTCCCTCGCGTGCCCCCTATGCGGCCATGCTAACCTGACCATCTCGCCCTCGACTAGAATTATTTGTGGCACGGACCCTCAGGCCCCTCACCCCACCTCTTCCGGCATTAAGGGGGGACCCCTTGAGGCCCACTACATGGGCGACTCTACTATCGCCCCCTCACTAGAACACCCTGTCGCCGGTGGGCACCGTACCAGCAGCAGATCACAAAGTGGCTCTCACGCCACCACTCCTTCTCACTCGGTCAATCCTTCCAGGACTGCCGTCGGGGTCGGAAGATGAAAGGTAACCGCGCCTACGTCACACCGGGGCATCGTCAACACCGGCACCCCCACCCACAAACCACCTGCTGGCAACTCCCATGTCAGCCCGCGCAATTACTCCACCATGCATAGCTATGTTTACAGACTTCCCGACCGACCAACCACCATAATAGTGAATCGGGGTAGGTGATATCCTATCCCTATCCCTCAAACCATTTTGTGTCTCGCTCGACCCAGGCGAAGTGCTGGTGGCTATGAAGCCACACACATCATGCATGTCAGCCCCACGGCTCGGGACAGCCCAAAGGCCGGCCCCTTGAGACCCACACACACTCCACTACCAGGGTTCACTCTGGAGGCCCATGAGAAGCATGACCAAACAAGCCTCAGGGGGTCACTCCTTGCAGGATGCAGCAGTCACACCCAGGTGGGAATTATATGGTCCCAAAACCGATCGTATTATGAGAAGAATGAATTACGAGTTGACTAGCAATCAAGGTCTGAACAATGGCAAATGAATGTTTACCCCGTTTGTTGTGATTGAAGCCATAACATCTTGGTTTCGCAAGAAAGAAGGCCTTGGCTATCCAGGGAATTTGAGCCCCCCATTGTCGCCATCCCCTTTCGAGCAAGTATTGCACATAACGGTGTCGTAAAAACCAGCCCAGTCCCTTCGGTAGCCTTCCCCTTGCCTTGGAACAAGGGAGGAGACTTAGAGGGGACTCTGGCAAAGCTGATACCCGAAGCTTTCGAGTCACCCTCCTTTATAGAGGACTCGTCACCAATAAGTGACGAAGAAATAAAGGATGCGCCAGAAATCCTAGAGTACGACTAACAGGCCACGGTAGACGATTTGGAGGAAATAAATCTGGATAGCGAGACCGACCCGAGACCCACCTTCATCTCTGCATTTATGTCACCTCAAGAAAAACAGGAATATGTTGAATTTATGAAAGCCAATTAGGATGTGTTTTCTTGACATTATGAGGAGATGCCCAATCTTGAACCGCACGTAGCCGTCCACAGGTTGGGCATCAACTTGTTATGCAAGCCTATCAAACAAAAGCTAAGGAGGTTTAGGCCCGATCTCAAAATCAAAATTGAGGTGGAGGTGGAAAAGCTTAGAGCAACACTCTTCATTCGAGAGTAAAATATCCTAAATGGCTGGCTAATATAGTCCTGGTCGAAAAGAAGAATTGGCAGATCAAGGTCTACATCGACTTCCGAGATTTGAAAGAGACTTGCCCTAAAGATGACTTCCCCCTCCAATTTACAGAGTTGCTGACTGATTCCACCACCAACTGTCAGGCGTTCTCTTTTATGGACGGCTGCACTGGTTATATCCTGATGCTGATGGCCCCGGAGAACAAGGAATCTACAGCTTTCTTAACACCAAAAGGTGTCTTCTGCTACATGGTTATGCCTTGTGGTCTCAAGAATGCAGAGGCCACGTATCAAAGGGCCATGACTACTAGCTTCAAAGACATGCTACACAAGGAAGTCGAGTGCTATGTAGATGACCTTGTAGTCAAATCGAATAATAGGGGGAGCCACATAGCGAGCCTCGACAGAGTCTTTGCGAGTCTTTGCCTCCATCAGCTCAAAATGAATCCCTTGGAATGTGCCTTTAGTGTGCGATCAGGGAGGTTCCAAGTTTCATTATTCGATACAGAAGTGTGGAGATTGAGCTCATCATGATCAAAGCCATCCAAAAGATGCCACCGTCTAGAAATCTATGGGAACTCAATTCCCTCGAAGGTCAATTGGCCTACATAAGGAGATTCATATATAAACTGGTAGGAAGATGCCAACCCTTATCCCATCTCATGAAGGAGGTCCCCTTCAAATGCGGTGAGGCATGCCAAGCGGTTTTTGACAGCATCAAAAGCTATCTTCTCAATCCCCTAGTTCTGCACCCATCCCCGGGAGGCCCCTCATCTTATACATGCCACGCTCGATGAGTCACTCGAAGCCCTCATATTATGGCTTTGTATTATCCGAGGCCTGAAATGTAAGGAGCAGAGGTCAATTACTCTCCAATGGAAAAGACATGCTTAGCCCTCATATTCGTAGTATTGAAGCTGCGACATTACCTGCACTAGCAGCTGAATTGGCTTGTCTCTCGTGCATACCCTATAAAGTATCTCTTATCACGCCCTTGCCTTATGGGCTGACTCACCAAGTGGTCACTACTCCTCATGGAGTATGACATCACATATGTACCGTAAAGGGCTGTCAAGGGTCAGGCCCTTGCAGACTTCCTAGCCACTCATCCGCTTGCGACAGGAACCCCCACAACTGAAGACCTACCGGATGAAGAAATCTTCAATGTCGAAGGCCTCTGCAGCTGGAAGATGTATTCTGACAGGATCTTCCAGTTGGAGAAAGGCGGTGCAAGAGTGGTATTCATCATTCCCTAGAAAGGATTAGTACCCCTATCCTTCTCCCTCCCGGGAGTGGGGTTGCATAATGAGGCAGAATACCAAGCACTCATCATAGGCCTAGAGATTGCCTCTCACCTAGATGTGAAACACTTGAATGTCTATGATGACTTTGAGATAGCAATCAAGCAACTCAAAGGAAGGTACGACATAAGGAGGGAGAGCCTCAAAACTTACTTTGGCGTTGCTAAGTCGCTAATCGCTAAACTCAATGAAGTGACTCTCGAGCACTTGTCTCGAAGGCTCAACACTTAGGCAGACGCGCTTGCCAAGTTAGGAGCTACAATTCAGATGCCGTTAAAAAACTCCATGCCAATATGGGTCATGGAATGGAGGTGTGCCGAATTCATAGAAATCCCCAAAGCGGAGCATCAGGCAAGAGAACTACTCGAATGGTGTTACTCCATTTCGACCGCAGCAGATGCTAGTAGTGTGCAAGGCTCGCCCACCTCCTCAACCTTGTGCATGACCGTAAAGAAGATGGGCAGGGGTGAAGAATGCCTGGCTGCAGACCACGTGTGTGCAGAAATTGAGCAGGAAACTGACTGATGCATCCCCATAATGGCGTATCTACTACACAATCGATTGCCCAACGAGCCCGTTGAGCGTAACATCATCCGGAGATCCACCACAGGATTTGTGTGCCAAGATGTTACTCTGTTCTTAATCTCCTACAACGACATGCTATTCAGATGTACTGGGCACGATGAGGCAAAGCGGGTTCTTGCAGAAGTCCATTCTGGGGTGTGCGGAATGCACCAGTCAGGCCCCATGCTGTACCACAGGATCATGCGGATAGGCTACTACTTTCCCACCATGAGTGCAAACTCATTGGCATTCGTGAAAATTTGCCCAATTTGCCATATCCATGTGAACTTCATTCACCAGCCACCCGAGCCTCTCCACTCAATGGTAGCATCTTAGCCCTTCGCCCACTGCGACATGGACATCGTAGGCCCCATCGATCCTCCTTCCTCCTTGGGGCATAAGTCCATACTCGCCGCAACCGATTATTTTTCTAATTGGGCCGAAGCAGTCCGTCTCAGGAAGGTCCCTGACACTGCGGTGGCTGACTTCATCCACCACCACATCATATATCGATTCGGTGTTTCCGATCGAATCATTTTCGACAATGGCCCCTTGTTCCGCAGTAGCCAGATCAATAGGTTAGCTGAGAAATTTGGGTTCACATGGAAGTACTGGACCATGTATCACCCAAGGGCTAACGGCCTTGCTAAAGCATTCAACGGAGCGTGATGTGAGGCCCCAAGGAAGTCTGTCTCTGCCACAAAGAGAAATTCGCACAAGAAGCTACTTGAAACTCTTTGGGCCCACCTTATCACATCCCGAGGAACAACACAATCCACCCCCTATTAACTAGTGTATGGAGGTGAGGCTATTGTCCCGATGGAAATCCAATTGCCATCCGTAAGAGTGCCCCTCCACTATGGAATGTGGAGTGAAGAACGGGCTACTCTTCGCTGCCAAGAGCTTGACGCGCTCGATGAAGGCAGGCACCGAGCGCAGCAGATCCTTGAGGCTAAAAAAATTGTATGAAAAGGGCCTTTGATTGATCCAATAGGATAAGAGCCTTCTTGAAGGGCAAGCTCGTTTTGGTAGTAAAGAGGCCCATCGCTACCCATGGCCAAACAAAGGGGAAATTCGAACCAAAGCAAGTAGGCCCATTCGTCATAAAGAAGGTTTTCCCTAACAGTGCATATTTCTTGATCAATGCCAAAGGGGGGGAGGCCAGGCCTCCAATTAATGACAGATATTTGAAAAAGTACTATCCATAAGCAAAGGTCCGCACCAAGCGACCTAGGGCCTGCCTACAACAGGTGAACCTCGCTCCCTGTCTGGCCAACATATGGGAACCCCTGTGGTCCCCCAAAAAAAAAAACATACGGGGTCTTGCGAAAATCAGCAATGGCACATTCCACAAGGGTTGGGATCCACGAGGGCATGAAAATCGACAAGGGCATCCCAACCATCATCATGCAGCAAGCAACAATCATCCCACGGGCACTTCATCCGCCATTCCTTATCCCCATCATCAGTAGGGGTAAGGACTGCACCAGCCCACAAAGAAAAAACAAAAAAAAGGAAGAAAAAGAAGAAGCAGCAAGCAAAGGGGCAACACTAAATAGGAAAGAGTTCGACATAAAGGAATTATTTTTATTCCATGAACAAGAGGATTACAACTTTGTGGTTACATCTCGTAACTACAATAAAACAAAGTGTGTACATCCATTCTGGGGTAGATCCGTCCACGAACTCAACCGCCTCCTCACCGTAGTGGCCTCCTCCGGGAGAGGGTATCACCCTCTTCAAACATGCCTTGGAGAAGAGTGTGGGCTCCTCCTTCTCTTGATCGTCACCTTACGAAGGTGAACAGCCATGCGCTGGTCGGAGGAAACAATACACGCACCAAGACTAGGCACACCGCCCCCACCAACTTCGATAGAAGGCCCCCAACACATTATACATAGTCGCGAGCCCCACGCCATGGGTCTCACACAAACAAAGGAGCTCTGGAGAAACAAGCTCATCCTCTGCCATGGGTCCATCGTCACTTCTGTGTGGTGAATGCATTCACAAGCACGTCCAATGCCCGTGCACACCCCAAAGCCAAGGTTAAGCAGTTAGCCCCCATATTGGGCATCACTCATCAGCCAAAATCTTCAAAGAAAAGGGGAAAACAGCTGCCCTCACTCTTTCCTGCCTCCCCCCCTTTTAAAGGGCTTAGGCTCCTCAAAGCTTGCTGCTTCCCGAGCATCATGCCGCCTAGCTACTCAACCACGTGTCATCACAATGGTGCCTCATTGACCGTGACATTTAAACCTTCTCCCGCCTCACCTATTAAGCATTGCCCATGAAGCATCACGGGAAAATCTCACGCCACCATGCTTTTGGCCTGGTGTTATCAGTAGATCACTAAAGCAGATCTTGCCCAAAGGCATTGCCATCCATGTGGCACTCTCCATCTGACCTCTCCCTATCATGTAGGCGTGTTGTCAACTGAGCACCTCTTCTTTAAGCATGCTTTCTTCGAGGCAGCTGATCATTCCACCCCTCGCAGGTGCCTTCTTCATCTCACCCCCCACGGGTGCCTTCTTCATTCGCCACCCCCCGTGGGTGCCTTCTTCAATCGCCACCCCCCGTGGGTGCCTTCTTCACTTTGCCCCCCTGCGGGTGTCTTCTTCATTTCACCCCCCGTGGGTGCCTTCTTTACGCCACCCCCAAGGAGTGCCTTCTTCATTCCTCCCCTTGTGGGTGCCTTCTTCATTCACCACCCCCCGTGGGTGCCTTCTTCACTTCACTCCCCGCAGGTGCATTCTTCACTTCACCCCCCACAGATACCTTCTTCACACTACCCCGTCACAGGTACCTTCTTCACTCTACTCCCTCTGGGTCCCTCCATCATTCCACACCCCTCACGGCTCCCTCCATCAACCCACATCCCCGCGGGTGCTTTCAACATTCCACCACCGTGGGCACCATCCAACACCTTCTGCGGAACCACCATCATTGACCCTGCTTGGGCACAAACTGCCTGGGTCGCAATAAAGCCACTCCTCCGTCATGGTTCATTACACTGGTGACCTCTCTCCCCCTAAAAAAAAAAAAAGAAGCATAGCCAAAAAATGGCTATGGGTAAAATCACCCAACAAAAAATAGGGGCATGGTGAAAACCCGCAAAGGGCACCATGAATAAAAATGACAAGTGGGCATGGACACGAAGCCATGAGTAAAAGAGTCCTGAAAAAAAATCTTGGCACGATGAAAACCTGCAAAAGGGCGACATGAGTAAGAGTGGAAACCAACGGGTGGACATGACATCGAACTCACGAGTAAAAGCACCCAAATAAAGGATATGGTAAAAACTACTCTTCTGGCGCCATATCCCCTCCGCCCAGGTGAAAACCCGAAAAGGGCGCCTTGACCGAATCTCCTCCTTCTGGCCTTCGGGTCAAACCACCTCAATTCAGGCCCCAATGCCTTCAAAAAAAAAAACTCCGGGCCTCAGTGCCTCCAAAAAACAATCTAGGCCCTAGTGCCTTCCAAAAAAAACTCCAGACCCCAGTGCCTTCCAAAAACCAATCTGGACCCCAATACCTTCCTCCAAAAAAAATCCAGGCCCCAGTGCCTTTCTTTAAAAAAAATAATCCGGGCCCCAATGCCTTCCAAAAACATCCGGGCCCTAGTGGCTTAAAAAATCCAAGCCTCAGTGCCTTTCAAACATGTTTTTCGGCTCCAGTGTTACCCTTTGTTTTATCGCAGGCCTTTGTGCCGCCTTCTTATTCTCGGCACTAGGGCCTCAATGCCCCGGTGCGACTTTCTCAACACGGGCCTTAGTGTCGCCACATAAAAAAAAAAAGCTCCTCCTCTTCTTCTCTTCCATCAAACTCTTACTGCCAGGGTAAACTCCCCTAAAATGGGACCGCTTCAAAGGCCATCCTCTTATCGAGTCTGGGTAATTCGGGAGACCCCCAACTCAACCAGTAGGATGTTAGCCAAAGAGGTACCTTGCCTACCATTCGTCTCATCAAACTCTGCATCCAAGGTGAAGTCCCTAAAATTTGGGACCGCTTCAAAGGCCATCCTCTTATCGAGTCTGAGTAATTCGGGAGATCCCCAATTGGACTTGTAGGATGTAAGCCAAAGAGTTACCTTGCCTACCTTTTCTTCCTCCACCAATCTTCAAGCATTTAGGGTGAAGTTCCCTAAAATGGGACCATCTCGAAGGACATCCTCCTTTCATTATTTAAAGGTATTTTTTAATACTTGTATCCTCGTTATGAGTTAAGAGAAAAGCAATATGCGACCTAGGTCTGCAGGTATCAAAATTCCTACGAACTATGGAAGCCATAGGGTAATAAGCCCTGATCCATGAGTGAAATTTTCGACAGTCTCATAATTGCCCAAGAAGGTTCAAGAACGTTGATAAAGGTATTTGAAGAATACCTACGAAGTTTTGTCGCAATCTGACCAGTTCAAGGCAGTGCAAACATAGAAATAGTTTTGGGAAAATAAGCCTCCCACTCTAAAATGGACCTTATAACTATAGTCCTATCACTGGAGTGTCAAAAGATTGTGGGACCACTACCATTGGATTTGGAGCTTTTGAAAACCTTAGGGACAACAATTCAGCTTGTTCAGACCTTCCTGGACCAAGTTATGGTCAAATTACCTGAAATGGGTAGGTCACATGCTATTACCGTGCACCCACAGTGAACTAATTTCCATTAATGGAAACTGTGCTCATGGGTTTTGGGCTCAACTTTGAAAGGTTGTATCTCTCTCATCCCAAGCTGGATCAAGCTCAAATTTTATGAGCGTGCTCGTCTCGTCGACTCGAGCATTTTGATATGTGGCACGCTCATGTTGTGGCATGAGCCTAGAGAAAAATGTGAGAGAGGATCACCATTCAATGCAAGGTTGCAGGTTTTCCAGCAGGAGCACACCTCGATCGAGTGGCCACATTATGGCGCTCGCATGTCGGATCGACCCAAAATCAGATCTATTACGAGCATAGGGTTCGAGGCATCATCAGAGTTGAACCTTGCACGTAAAGGAAAGTCAGATTTGATGCACGACAAGTACAACATTGCTGCATTTTCTGGGCACTAAGAAGCAAATTCCGGTCAAAAGATCAAAAATGGAAAACGGTCATTCGGCCACCAAATCAAGCCACATTCATCACCAAGCGCTCACAACGACTTGCTCATCGATATTCAGAAAATATATCATCAAAAATCACCAAGAAATGGGCATAGTCTTTAAACAAATATCGCATGTTTCTCATGATTTTCGCACTTCATGATCATGGCCCAAAGACCCGATCCGTGGCTCAAAAGTGGTTTCAAAATGACTGTCTGCCGATCCGATCAAGAAAAGAATCATCTTTTGACTAAATAGAGACTGGAAAGACCCCAAATCATCCCTGGAAGATCACAAGAGTTCTTGGGCACAGCAGGGACTCCATTGGAATTTTGTGGATTGTTGTTACAGGGGCAAAATCGTCTTTTTTCCATATTTTTTTAGAATTTCTTCAATTCACTTAATTGTTAATTTTTAGCAATTAGGTCAAATTTTGATTTTACACCCATGTTTGGGCCCCACTTCTATATAAATAAGGGTGCACCTCATGTAATGGACCCTTCTTGGAGTAATAAAAATTACATTTCTTTATTTGAGTCTTAGGTCATGTCTTGGAGAGAGAGAGGAGAGAGAAGAATTTAAGCAGTACCCTTTGA